CCTCCCGACCCTCCAGCAGATCCACACACTCAATTTGGTGTCATCTGCAGATTTACTGAGGGTGCCCTCGCTCCCCTCACCCAGGTCACTGGTGAAGGGGTTAAACATGACTGGTCCCAGGACCGATCCCGTTGGGATCCCAATGGGCTCTGACTCCATTCCCCACAGCTCCCTGGGCCCAGCAAAGAGTTCACCTGTCTAGGCCATGAGCTTCTCCAGCAGAATGCTGTGGGAAGTGGTGTCAGGCCTTCCTGAAGTCCAGGCAGACAATCCACCACTTTTCCCTCTTCCACTAGACCGGCCACCTGATCACAGAAGGAGACCAGGTTGGTTGAACAGGACTTACCCTTCATGAACCCATGTTGGCTGGACCTCATCCCCCTGTTGTCCTGCACTTGCTGCATGGTCCCCCCCAAGATGAGCTGCTCCATAATCTTCCCCAGTACCGAGGTCAGGCTGACAGGCCTGGAGTCCCCACATCCTCCTTCCAGCCCTTCCTGTAGATGTAGATGGGCATCACAGTGGCAAGCCTCCAGTCACCTGAGACCTCCCCTGTTAAACAGCACTGCTGAGACATGATGGAGAGAGGCCTGGCAAGCACAGAAATGCTGTCCTGCTTCCTTGTCCTGCTTCCTTGTCCTGCTTCCTTGCTTTGTTTCTGATTTCCTCTAACGTCTCTCCTTCTTTGTGGCCTAGATGGAAGAACTGGTGGGTAAGAGGCATCCTGACGCTGGCAATGATTACCTTCTTCTTCATCATCATCTACTTGGGACCCCTGGTCTTAATGACAATAGTAAGTGCTCCAGAGGGATGCCCTGACATTCACAGTGGGAGTGAGGAAGGTTGCTGGGGCTGTTGCTGGGGTGGGCAGCTCAGAACCTCACAGTTTTGATGTCCTTATTCAGCTTGCTGGGTTTCTCTCTCCATGGAGGAAACCTGGGAGGAATCTGTGCCCTCCTGCCTTGCTGGTCAGCTTTTGGCTGCAGTTGAGACTAATGTAAGGAGTTGCTAAAATCTCCTGCAGAGAGAAAAACAACATGGTCAGGTTCCACTGCTGGGTTAGGAGACTCCTGCCAGACTGATAGCAGCTGCTGAAGTATCTTTTACTCTGCATGTGAATGTTTTTATCTCCTTGAGGAAAGAGATGTTTAACCAACTGTACTACAGCTTCCCCATGTCTTGTTGTGCAGGTGATGTGTGTCCAGATCAAGTGTTTCCATGAGATTATCACTATTGGCTATAATGTGTACCACTCGTATGACCTGCCCTGGTTCAGGACACTCAGCTGGTGAGTGAGGGGGCTGAGCCCACCTCAGGCTGGGCTGGCCCAGTTCATCTGCCTGCCTCCAACCCAGAGACCCTGGGGCTGCTCTGTGTTCACCAGTGTCGTGTGTTAGCAGCTCTTGTAAAGGAAAAGCCATCACAAAGCTTGTTAGATCAGTATCCTAGAATCATGGAATCACAGAATCGTTTAGTTTGGAAGAGACCTTTAAGCTCCTCGAGTCCAACCCCCCCCAGCACTGCCAGGTCCCCACTGCCCCGTGTCCCTCACCCCACATCTCCAGGGCTTGGGAACCCCTCCAGGGGTGGGGACTCCACCACTGCCCTGGGCAGCCTGGCACAGCCCTGGGCAACCCTCCAGGGGGAGAAATTGTTCCTCAGGGACAACCTCAGCCTCCCCTGGGACAACTTGAGGCTGGTTCCTCTTGTCCTGTCACTTGTTCCTTGGGAGCAGAGCCCGACCCCCACCTGGCTCCAGCCTCCCCTTGAGAAAGCCCCTGCTGATAAAGTTTGTCCTGTTGTTGCTGAAGTGCAGAGATTTGAGTCTGTGCAAGGGGCAGCACCGAGAGGCATCACCACTGGGAGATGGACATGGCTGCTTGGGAGGGGTGGGAGCTTTCAGGTGGTTATGAAGCAGGCAGAACACTGGGACATGAGGCTGGTGCTGAGGCAGGGCAGGAGGAGGAGCAGAGCTTTTGGGAGGCACGGGGCGGGTGTTTGGGCTGCAGGAGCTGGCAGGGGCCTGGGGAGCAGTGCCACCTAAAGGCAGAGAGTCTGTGCATCAGAAGGCCGAGGCCAAAACCAAACCCACATGGTGTGATCCAGCCCAAAGTGGAGCTGAGTGGATGCAGTGGATGCATCCTAAAACTAGTGGATGCAGCCACTAGTTTAAATGAAGATGACATTTCTAAACTGGGGGAAATAAATTCAGGCTGTCACTTGAAGGGAGCCTGTCTGCAGTGTGCTGGACAGTGTAAAGACCTCAGGGATCACTCAATTTTGTGTTTCTCCAGAAGCCTTCTAGGGCTCATGCTCACGAGCCTCTGCATCTTTCACAGGTACTTCCTGCTCTGTGTGAACTACTTTTTCTACGGGGAGACTGTGACAGATTATTTCTTCACCTTGGTGCAGAGGGAGGAGCCCCTGCGGATCCTCAGCAAATACCACCGCTTCATTTCCTTTGCCCTCTACTTGACAGGTAGAGCCCACGTTTTCTGCTGGTGAACCTGGGCTGGGCTGGAGGGAGGAAATCTCCTTGAGCTACTTTTGTCCTGAGTATTGTGTCCAGTGCAGTATCCACAGCAAATTATCTCTTCTCTTCAGGGATGCTGTAACTTGGCTGCATTGTTGGAGCAGTGGTGGGAAAGCTCTTACCTGAGGCTTTACAGAAGGAATCTCTATAATCTGTATGGGGCAGCCAGGCTTGGGTGTTCTTCTGTCCAAGTGATACTTGTAGGCAACAGTAGTTTGTGACTTCCATGTTCCCACTCCACATTGCTGCTTTACTTGAGTTAAACCCTAAGGACCTGTGCAATGTCATGGTAAAAAAGCATTTGTTGCTGTGGGAGATCCATTCCCACCGTGGACTTTAACTCTGTCTCTCACCAGGTTTCTGCATGTTTGTCCTGAGCCTGGTGAAGAAGCACTATCGCCTCCAGTTCTACATGGTAAGTTCAGTGCAGGGCCTGGCTGCCCCCACCTGGAGGCAGGGGAAGGAGTGATGTAGAGTGCTTGAGGATGATGTACCAGTAGATGCTGCTGTGCTGGCTGTGTGTTGTAATGCTGCCTGGAAGAACAGTTATGTGAGCAGACTGTATTTTTAGGAAGCTGTCTCTGACCATATTTCCCTGCAAGCATTTATTCTCTTCTCACTGCACTTGTGGGTGCTATTAAGAAAGCTTCTGCAAGCTGAGAGGACTTCACAAGGCTACTTGACTCTCGTGCTGAGGGTAGATTGCCACCAGGTTAATTGGCAGTGTCCCCCTTTTCCCAAACACCAGTAAGGTTTGACTCTTGGCACAGCTAATTTTGCTTTCCAGCATATTCAGCACACAGGGACAGGTCTGGCTGCCTGTCAGCCTTCTCTTCTTATGTAGTCAGAAGGCTGGGGAAGATGTATGGGACTGGGGTGGGCTAAAGAGCATTTGGTCCAGTAGAAGTCTTCCTAATGAAGGTCACCTCTGGGCTTGAGCAGAAAATGCCCATAAATGACTGGAGGTGATTCCCTGCTCCGGGTGCCGCGTGGTGCTCGTTGGGGAGGAGCTGCATGCTGGAAACCCCCCGTGCATGAGCAGCTCTGGGGCTGAGGGGGAGCTCACAGCACCTGCTGGCTGCCCACGCTGCCTGGGGCAGGGCCAGGGCAGGCTGGACTGCATGCTGTCTTCTCTTCCAGTTTGGATGGACCCACGTGACGTTGCTAATTGTTGTTACCCAGTCCCACCTCATCATTCACAACCTGTTTGAAGGAATGATATGGTGAGTTGCTGTGCCTTCTGAGTTGCTTTGTTTCCTGCAGCCTGACACAACTGACCATGGTTTGGGTTAGAAGTGTTCTTATCAAAAAATGAATGGCCGAGGAGGAGTTGGTTCCTGTGAGGGACAAACCTGTGCAGACTGGGAAGGCAAAAGATTGAGTGATACCTCAGTGCCTGAGGACTTGCTTTGTGCTAGAGGAGCAGCACAGAGAGTTGTTGCAAAGAAGCACCTGAAAGCTGCTGTGGGGTGCAGGGACCTGCCAGGGTTGTCAGGCCTGTGTGGGTGCTTTCTCTTTGTGCTCACACCTGGCAGGATGAGGAAGTGCTGCTCAGCTCTTGGTCTGGGGCAGTGCTGTCCATGCCGTGTTGAAAGCAGCACTGTGGAAGGAAGGAGGTTGCAACCTGCCACTTTCCTCCAGCTGCTGTGCAGAGGGGAAGCCCCTTTGGTGGTCTTCCCAAAACCAGTAGGGCCAGGAAATAATTTTTTTAAGATTGCATGTTCCTCTGTGCATCATAACCAGTCCAGAGTGTTTTAGGAGCCACCTGCTTCCAGGTGAAATACAACCCATCCAGGGGGAAGGGAGGCGACTAACAGCATGCCATGTGTGACAAAAGATGTGCTTAAAAGAGGCCATCCTGGGTACACAACCTGCTTCTCAGTCCAGAGCCCTAGAGCCACCACCCAGACTTCCCTGGGAGCTTCAAGTGGCTCCACCTTGCATTGCCTTGGAGGGGCAGACGTTGGTGTGATGGCACTGCAGAGAGTCTTAGGAAGCAACTACTTGTTTAGTTAAGTCTGGGGGGGGTCTGATCTTGGCACTTTCCAATGGTTTGAGTCTTCCTCTGTCTAGGTTCATTGTCCCAATTTCCTGTGTGATCTGCAATGACATCATGGCATACATGTTTGGGTTCTTCTTCGGCCGCACTCCGCTCATCAAGGTGCGTAACACTTTGGTGGAGAACACCCACAGTTTGGCTTCTTTGGATCTTAGTCCTGTGTTCCCTCATCTCCAGTTCTGTGGCTTGTTGTGGGTCTGTAACAACCCTCCAAATTAAATTGCTGTGCCTCCCAGTCTTGGAGGCTGTAAAGTTAAATGAACCTCTTCAGACTGAGATGTTGTGTCAGCTTCTGACTCAACCTCTTTACTTGCTGGTCGTTGGCACCAGTTTGTGTTTGCCTCAGTGATTCACAGGAGAGAAAGGGCTGCAGAGGTGTGTGGAGATGTATGGTTTGGAATTACCCTCTTCTCTCTCTCTCTCTGGCAGCTCTCCCCAAAGAAGACCTGGGAGGGTTTTATTGGAGGATTTTTTGCCACTGTTTTGTTTGGATTGCTGGTAAGTAGCAGTTGTGGTACTTATGGTGTTGGTGTTTTCCTTCCACAGTGTTCTGTTTAAAAAAATGCAATCAAGCTTTAAGCTCTCCCAGCTCTTGCTAGAGACTTCACATCCTCATAGAATCCTAGAATCCTTTAGGTTGGAAGAGACCTTTAAGATCAAGTCCAACACTACTAAATCCTCTGCTAAAACAGAATCAGAATCTGTCAGGGTCAGAAGGGACCACAAGGATCCCCCAGTTCCTCACTGCCCAGGATCTGAGGTGCTCCACACTGTGTTCTGTGCTGTGTGCAGGTCCTGGAGATGGAGCAGAGTACCTGAGCAGGTTTTTAGTCCCTGTTAGCCCCTGTGACACATCCATTACAACAGTTTTCCTGGAGATGTTCTCTTTGCTGCTGTTGGATGAATGCTGTGCATCTTTTCAAGGGCCGCGTGGGGAATTCACGCTTGGAATATTCTGATGTTTTGATGGTGATGTCTGTGTCTTTGTTTCCATCCTCTCAGCTGAGTGGTGCAGCCTGTCTCAGCTGCCTCATACGGGGCTCTGATGGCTGCTGCCTGAACAGATGCACTTGCTAAATGAAAATGCTTACTCTGCTTTAGCCAATTACTGCTTCTCAGGGGAGTAATCTTCTTATGGGAGCTGGGAGCATGGGGAACATGGCTCCCTCCCTGCCCTGTCTCCTTGAGTGCCCTTTTCCCTTGAGACTGGCTCTGCCACATTGCTCAGGAAAATGTTAATCCTGATTTCTTGTGCTGTGTCTCTTTTTCTCTGTCCTTGAAGTTGTCCTACGTGATGTCCGGGTACCGGTGCTTCACCTGTCCCGTGGAGTTCAACAACGACACCAACAGCTTCACAGTGGACTGTGAGCCATCTGAGCTCTTCCAGCTCCAGGAGTACAACATCCCCTTGGTGCTGCAGTCTGTGGTGGGCTGGGTAGGACTCTCTCTATGTATTGGATCTTATTTATTCCAATAGGAATGCTAAAAAAAAGATCAGGGCTTTATTTTGATGCTTTTTGAAGGAACATGACAAGGGATCCAGAAAAAGGGAGGATTTAGTGGCCTGTGTGTTGGTTGAAGGCCCAAAGGAATTGTCTCAAGTCTGGTGGGACTTGAAAATGAACAGACCTAAGGCCTGGGGAGCAGAGAAAGAGGGGCGAGCAGTGGGCAGTGTCATTCTCACTGGAAATCCCTCTCTGACATGTTTTTCTTCTGCAGAAGACCGTCCGGATGTACCCCTTCCAAATCCACAGCATCGCTCTCTCTACCTTCGCCTCCCTCATCGGGCCGTTCGGAGGCTTCTTTGCCAGTGGGTTTAAGAGGGCCTTCAAAATCAAGGTGAGGATGGTGAAGGTCATTTACAGTTTAGAAAGGAAAGACTAAATGATTGGTGCCACTCTGACCAGTCCCTGTGCTCCAAGGCTGGGTGCTTTGGGAAGTCAGGGGGGGTTTGTTCAGTCTCAAATGAAATGCTGGAGCAGGATCTAGTTTTTTCAGACTGAATGGGGAGAGACCTTAAAACTTCAACTGTGATATCCTAAACCCCACTTTAGTGCAGAACTTGAGGTAGAGGAAGAAAGACCCAGTCAGGAAATTTTGCAATCTGAGGCTTCCCTTGATGTCTTGCAGGCTGGTTTTACATGCACACAGTCCACGGTCAGTTCAGATGCCTTGAAAGGCAAGATAGGGTTGCAGGAGATAAACTTTAGCTTTCCTTGACCTTTGAGTGGCAGATCTGAGTTAAACTTTGATGTCCCTCAGGCATTCTTCCTTCATAAAGGAGAAACCAGGGAGAGATTAAGCACAATGTCTTCCTAGGCTGACTCTTGCCTTCTGGGAAGAATTAGAGGAAGGGTCTGAGCATTGTGCACAGAGGTTCCTAAGTAAGTAGAGGTGACAGGCATTTGAAACTGCTAAATCCAGTCCCATCTGCTCTCCACAGGACTTTGCCAACACAATCCCAGGGCACGGAGGCATCATGGACCGCTTTGACTGCCAGTACCTGATGGCCACTTTTGTGAACGTGTACATTGCAAGCTTCATCAGGTATTTATTGCCTTGAGATGAGGTCTGGGGGCCTTGTCAAGCTCAAGTGTCATGCAGGCTTGTGATAAGACCCAGCTCTGACCCTGTGAGATTAACATCTAAAGATACAAGACAAAGAAAGTGAGGAAGTGGAGCCCTGAAGAGGGGAGGTGTCTTTCAGCAGGGTCACGCAGAGCTAGAGACACAACCCTCATTTCCCAGGGTCTGTTGTTCCAGTCCTTCTGAAACTCCTGCACGTCTCCTCTGCATTCCTGTGAATCTTGAGCAGGGCTTCCAGAGTCGAATGAGCAGAAAAATCTAATTTTGTAGCATTTACAAGTATTCTGTAGGCATAGGTAGAACAACCCCTGTAGATGCAAAAAAGATACAGTGAAGGAGTCGAGGAGCTCCTCTTCATGTGTCTGCTTTGATCTTTGAGGGGGAGCATCTGCTGGTAAGGGAAGATGCACAACAATCTTGAAACAGATTTGAGTTTGGGGGTTTGTTTTTTTTTTTTTGTTTCTCATTCACCATCCTGTGCCTTTTTAATCCACATCTCCAATAGCATAGAACTGCTGAAGGAATGGGCAGCGTGGCTCTTACTTTAAGCCTGTTCTTTTGATGAGAATGCATTTGGCTTCCCAGGTCACTGAGACTTAGCAGTGTAACTCACTGATAAGGATGCCTTTGTGTTTCAGGGGTCCTAACCCGAGCAAACTGATCCAGCAGTTCTTAACCTTGAGGCCAGACCAGCAGCTCCACATCTTCAACACGCTCAAAGCTCACCTGGTGGACAGGGGTATGCTGGGGGGTCTGGAGGACGCGTAGAGATCCGGGCGACTGGAACAGGACTGAGAACAGACAAGCCTCCCTGAGGAAATTCCTGGCTTGCCTGGTTTAAGACAGTAATAAGGCCTCATTTCACTGTAACTTTTCTTCCTCTCTTGGTAAATGTTTGCATTTGTGGGTTTTTTTAAATAATATATTTATATAGCTTTGGTTCAGATGAGCAAATTTTGGGTTTGTAGCTGAAAAGGAGTTAAGGCTTGGAAGGAAGCCAAAAGAAGGAGTTAAGGCTTGGAAGTTGGGTGAAGTTGGAGAGTGCAGCTGTCCTCGTGGTCTGTTCCTAACCTTCTATGCCCGTGGGCAGAGCTGAGTGTGGCTGGTGAGTGTGTTTATGCAGGGGGTGCCCAGAGCCTCGGCCCTGCAGCCGCCCGGGCGCGTGGAGGCAGCAGGAGGGGGCAGCCCAGCAGCTCCCCGGGCCACCAGCTCAGGCTGGGTCATGATGGCAACTCCAGGGACCTTCAGGAGCTGGGGATGCTGTGGTGGCTTTCCCTGAAAGCCCCATTGGCTCCTTGCAGAACGCAGGGTGAGCGCCAGGCTCTGGATTGGAAGAGGATCTTGTACTAATCCAGCCGTATTTCCCCTGCCCAGCCAGGCACAAGCCTCTGGTTTCACTTGCTGTTGTTTGCAGTGCCTCTCACATTCCCCCCGTACAGCTGAGATGTTGGCAAATTAAGATTTTTATAAGCAATTAAGCCAGAAACAGACTTGAGGACAAGGAATTGAGAAACTGGGAGTTGCTTGTGGGAATGTGGAAAGTTCACATTGCTTCAAAACCGAGTCCAGCAAATAGATTTTAAAGAACATTGAAGTTCCACTGAGTAATTCCTGCCAAGTAAGAACAACCCCCCCTGTCAGATAACTTCTAAGAAACACTGAACCACACTTTTTCATTTCTTGATGGTTGGAAACCCCACACTGGGATATTTTAATGAATTTGGAGGGGAGTTTCCAACGTGTTTTTTCTCTGAAGCTTGCTGGCTGGGGCTCCAGCGCCCCGCTGGGGCTGCCAGCTGGGTGTTTGGTTTTTCTTTCAGGGATCATGTCTATCACCAGTTTGTTACTTGAGTTCTAGATGTCGTGCTGCTGAGTTTATAATGGTCTGTGTTGCATTTCAGTCTGGGTTCATTTACCTGCAGGCTCCTGTCCTGCTTCGCTTACTAAATCTTGTCATAAATAGTTTGTACTTAATATTTACAAGTTTTATCTAAGTAATTTCCTTTATTTTGTCATACTTTTTTATTATTTAAAAAATGAGAGCCCTAATTATCGTAAAACTTTCCTTATTTTTTTTTTTTATCTGTGATCAGAGTAAAAATATCCCCAGTTTACACCTTAATGCTCCCAAACACAACGTGACTCTGATTTTCCTTCTTTCCATAGTTTGTGCATGGGAGAGAGAAACTTTACCTTATTTTAACCTGGGGAACGAGTGACAGGGAAGGATAATACAGAAGTACATGGTTGTTTTCAAATAGAAACCTTCCTCACAGCCCCCCTCCCCACAGGGAGACATGTACACACTGCAAGCTAGCTAAGCACTGAGGGAAAATAAACCACCTGGAGCTACTCTGAGGCTCATACCCCGTGTCCTGATTCTGCCACTGCTGTCACTGACCCCGGGCGAGCGGGGGTGTGGGAACCCATTAACAGACACCCACCTCTCTGTGTGGCAAGCTCTGCTTCATCCCCCTGCACAGGAACCACAGGGCAGGAGTTTGGGCCCGTTGTGCTGTGGATCCAGCACAGGCTGTGGAGAGGCAGGGTCCATTTCCACAGAGGATGTTCCCTGGGGTGCTGGTGCCAGGAGCCCGGGCGGCTGCGAGGGACCTGGGGGTCGTGTTGGGTGGATGCCTGTGGTGCATGTAGAGGCTTCCCTGGACTGGCTCTGGAGACTCTTCCCTTCCAGCCTGAATGAGGCAGGGATTGATTTTCTGTCAATTTAGAGAATTTGGGTCCAAGCCCCTAATTTGAAACTGAAGAGGAGACTTAAGGTGCTTCCATCTTGCTTTGCCCAGGGACAATATTTGGTTTAATTTGGCTGAGTTTAGCTGGGCAAAGCGAGCAAGTGACCTGCAAGGAGCAGCTGGGCTGGGAATAAGTGTGGAAGTGCCAGGGGTTTGTGTAGTCCCTGAAAAGCAGTTTGCCCTGGTCCACGTGCTTTTCTGGAGTCTCCCTGCCCATTGCCAACATCTACCAAAATCCCTTGTGCACTCCTGGGTCGCAAGTCAGTCAGCAGAGGAAGCTGTAGTGTTGATAAATATTACAGCAGTGTACTACTCTTTCTAGTAAGTAATTTTCCATACGAGTCTTTAGTCTGCTGCTTGTCTTGCTTTAAACTTTTGTACCTCTTCAGTTGTAATTAGTGGGGGAAAAAATGGAACATGAAGCTTTTCTGCATGCTTTTGGTTCGAGGTAGCCCTTGGCCTTCTGGAGGGGTGTAGTGCTGGATGTGGACACTGGAGGGCAAAGCAGTTGCAGTTAGTGGCTTCCTGGGGCTGGGAGAGAAGCAGCAGCAGCAGCAGCAGTGTGTGTGGGTGGCTTTCCCCAGGAGCTCGCAGCTGTGTTCTTGCTTCCCTGCTGGCAGTGCAGTTAAAGGCTGGATTTCCAAGCCTGCTTTGATCCCGAAGGATAAAGCTGTGTGGAAGGGGATTAGCATCCTGCCCTGCAGTTCAGGAACCTGCACGGGAACGGGGCAGCTCCTTGAGGAATGGAGAAGGAGGGAGGGGAGGGTTGTTGAGGTTACCTGCAAGCTGTAGAGCTGAACGTGCTGAGGAAGGCTGGTGAGCACCACAGCGTGTCCTGCGCGGGGCTGGGAGCTGCAGAGCCACTGCTGCACTGCTGGGTGACTGGGTGGGGGTGCTGCTCAGCTCTTGGCGACGGGCTGCCTGGGGGACGTTTGGTGGCTTTTCCCCATCAGCCCAGCCTGTGAGTGGCTTTCATTTGTCCATATTCCAAGTTAGACTTAGAAAGTGAGAGGAAATGAAAAGCTGATGTTACTGGCTTTGGCTGTCCCTAAAGGAGTTAGCTGTGGTGCCAAGGGACGTAGCAAGACCTGTTGCACCTCTTTTCATTGCATTAAGCCTTGCAGGACCGTGATGATGCTGCAGCTCTCACAAGAATGCAGGTTTGGAGGGAGGCAGATGTAGCCAGTGCTGCTGGAGGGGCCGAACTGGCACCAGGGCTGTCAGGGTGAGCTGGGGGGGGGATGCCCACGTGAAGTTTCTCCATCTGGGGGGTCTGAGCTCAGTAGTTATTTTCCAGTTGGAGTGGACAGAGAGGGCTGTGAGTGTATTTAATGAGCAGAGGGGTGGCATGTGGCTAGAAAACTGCTTGTGAATTGTGTGAGAAGGTGGCTGTCCTGGTGAGGTGACTCTCAGCATTCAGGACGTTTGTTTGCTGCCGGGTGGTTAGGTGATATGGGTCAGGCACTGGTTTGACCCACAGTGTGAGCAGCCATGGCTGGGCTGAGGAGCACTTGACAGGGCTTTGCTTCTCCAGGTCTGGTTGTAGCCCAGATCAGTTTGCAGGTCAGGCCAGACCATGGCCTGCAGTGCTCAGCAAAGCACCAAAACCTAGTCTTTGTGTACAGAGTCATGTCCTGGGCTGGTCAGCATATGTTACTGCAATATTCCTGGTGGTGATGAGCTCAGACATCTGCTGATGCTGATCTGATGGGGCAGCCTTGGCCTGGGGTTTATTGTACTTTGTGCAGCTCATAAAGCTGGAAATCCTGTGGCACCAGCTAATGCTTGGCAGCAGGTTGTGCCCTACATCCCAAGGAGTGTGTCCAGTGTGCACAGTGAGTGCCCTGAGCGTGGCTGTGGTGGGAGCCTGGCACCTCTTCCTTCCCCCACCTCCTCTGACCGTCTCTGTGTGGTAGGAGGAGAGCAAAGCTGTGTGGAAAACATCCCTGCAGCAGCCAGGCCCTCCTGGGGATGGGCCACTGTCCCAAAGAGCATCACGTGGAAGCCCCTGTGGTTCCTGCCCTCTGCAGCCAGCCCTGGAGCTGCACTTTGCACTGCTGTGATCTCCGTGTGCTCCTGTCCTCCAGCCCTGGCCTGTTTCTACCATCTGCTTCTTTCTCTGTGCACTGTTCTTTTGGTTAAGGTTTTAGCTACACATGTAGAGTTGCCTTTCTTTGACCGAATGTCCGAATGTGATATATTGTATATTTTAAAGTATTTACCCTATTTATATACTGTATGTTACTGTTGAATAAATATAAGTTCCATTATCTGTAGTGGAGTTTTATTCAGTGCTGTGGGTGGGTGGGGGAGATGTTGGAAACCTCCCTCCATGCTCTGGAAAACAGATCAGTCTGTTTAAACTCCCAGTTCCCCCATTCCCTGCTCCGTAGCTGCTTCCTCAGGGATCTTCCTAAGAGCAGAGCTGGCTGTGGCAAAGGCACGTGTGGAGGCTGCAGATGGGCTGAGCCCAGGGGCAGGACTGGAGCTTTGCCTTCCCAGGGTGCTGTGTGGGGGAAGCTCTGATCAGATCGTACAGGCCCGTGTTGATGAAGATGAGGGAAGTGTTGACACCGCTGCACATCAGCTCATTTCATCCTACAGACCATTTGGAACAGGAACAATTATTGGAATTCCACTTAGCATGAATTATTGCTTTATTTCAGCCTTTTCTCCTGACTTGCAGGGGGTTGGGAGAGCAGAATCCTCCTGTTTACCCACTAAAACATACTATTTTTATCTCTCATGTTATTTTGACTGTTTTTGACTTATCAGCTAAGCCAAACCAACACATCAGCAGCCCTCTTCTTGCTTCCTGCCACACTCTGTGTGGCATTTTCAGACAAATTAATCCTCCCACCACAAAACACTATGCCTTCTCTGTAGCAACCCTGCAAAATTAGTCTAAAGCCCCAAATCTGGCAACACTTGGCCCTCGGAGGAGGCAGCCACTTAAGGAGCAAATTGCTGAGGGGGCCTGTGAAGCGATTAGATGCCATTCCTGAGAGGTCTTGAAAGACCACCTGGTGTTAAATCTTTTGGAAAAGGAACTGTGAAGTCCTCTGCAAGCTGCCCAGCTGGCAGTGGGGCAGTGCCCATGGCTGTGCCTTCAGTGGGTCAGACACATCATCACAGCCTGAGCCTGAGCTGCTGTGCTGCAGCCACACGCCCGGCGTCGGGCCGAACTGCAGGTT